TCACAAAAAGCAATACCAAGCAATCGATCTTGCAAATCCAAATTTATATACATTCGCTTCATTGTAAATTTCGTAAAGTATAGCATAATGACATTCATGCATTAAAACAATTTGTGATCTACGTATGAAAACAAATCAATATAAAAATAAAAATTGATAAGAATAATTTTATCATTTTAGTTTCTCAAGTTTTTTCTTATTAATAATAAAAATTAAAAAACAGAACTTTATAACTAATAACTTCAAAACTGATATCTACACATTTTCATTTTAAAGAAATGATTCCAAAAAATAATTTTGCAATATAATATATAATATAAGTTATTGATTATATTTTGCAATATAATCAATAACTAAAGAAGTAAAAACTCAGGGATATTTTTAAAACTCTGAAATAACTTAAACAAAACTTGAAAATTTTTATAGTTACTTAAAAGAACTTTTCAAATTTTTAAAGTTACTAAACAAAACTTTAATAAACTTTAGGCCTGTCTAAAGTAAATTTTCCTAAGGGAATATACATTATTTAGAAATAAAAAATAAGTGCTTAGTAAACAAAACATTGACAATGTTAGCAGATTGACAGCAAATTTAATCAAATTTGATCAAATTCGCTGTCAATCTGCCAATTTTGCTAACATTTGATTATCTAAATATATATAGAGATATATTAAAAAATATATTATAAATAACTAAGTTACTATAAAAAGTCAGTGTAAACATTACATAAACAATATGTAAAGAATTCATATAGATGTAATTTTGAAGTCTACATGCATTACTTACGTATTGTTTATTTACTTATTATATATATTTTAAACTTCTCACTTAGCCGAGACTTAAACCTCACATAGAGAAAGTATACTTCACTTGGTCGAAAAGAAATCTCTTAGTTGAGATACGAACCTAACTAGCCGAGACTCAAACCATTTGGTTTGAATCTTGGCTACTAAGGTTAGAATACTGAAGTCAGGTGTCGCTGACACTGACTTCCTTCTTTTATAAAACAGAGTTTATACCTTGTGGAATTACGTTTGCTGGAGATACATAACCTGTATCATATAATTTATTTATTTTCAAATATAAATATATATTTGTGTAACGTAATTAAACTTTTTTCATTTAAATTGCACGAGGATGAGTGATTCAAAAAAGAAAGCAAAATTACAAAAGACTGGACCGGTCGACAACGCGTGGTCATTGAAAATTCCAGAATTCAAAGAACAGGATAATCCACATCGGTTCCTCGAGGAAAGCTCATTTGCTTGCATGTTTCCCAAATATCGGGAGCAGTATCTAAAAGAACATTGGTTGTTAGTTCAGAAAGCTGTAGGCGAACATCACATCAAGGCTGAACTGGATCTTCTTGAAGGTAGCATGACAGTAAAGACCACCAGGAAGACATGGGATCCATATATTATTATTAAAGCACGCGACATGATCAAGCTTATGGCTCGTTCGATTCCCTTCGAGCAGGCAGTTAGAGTTCTCCAAGATGACATTGCTGCAGACATCATAAAGATATCCTCATTTGTTAGGAACAAGGATAAGTTTGTTAAGAGAAGACAAAGGCTTATCGGACCAAATGGATGTAACTTAAAGTCCATAGAATTACTCACCAATTGTTACGTCGTGGTTCAGGGACAAACTGTATCAGCATTAGGACCCTACAAAGGTCTTCAGCAAGTGAGAAAAGTAGTTGAAGATACGATGAAGAATATTCATCCAGTTTATAGCCTCAAAGCATTGATGCTTAAACGAGAACTTGCTAAGAATCCAAAATTGAAGAATGAAGATTGGGAACGATACCTTCCTAAGTATAACAGCAAGAACATAAGCAAGCGTAAAGAGCCGAAGAAGAAGAAAGAAAAGAAACCATATACTCCATTCCCACCGCCTCAGCAAGAAAGCAAACTTGATAAGGAAATGGCATCTGGCGAATTCTTCTTGAAAGAAGAACAGAAGAGGGCAAAGAGAAAGAGGGAACAGGAAGCCAGACATGAAGAGGCATCTAAGAGAAGGCAAGAGCGCAGAGCACAAGCATTTGTGCCACCTGAAGAGAAATCTGTTCAAAGTGAAACTGTAAAAACTGATGTGAATATCGAAGAAGTAAAGAAAAAAATTGAACGTGGATTAAAAAAGCGTAAAACAGAATAAAGAATGTATAGTGTAAATTGAGGAGACATTTTTTAAATATGATTAATATTGTAATAGATATAACATGTAAGATATATAAAGGGACGTGAAAAATTGAATTTTGTCACCCAAATATAAATTTACGGGAAATATTCCGTTATTTTATTAAAAAAACTCGGTTTTATTACCATAATATCGCATTCTTAACATATATTTATATTCTATAATTATTTTACATTTGCAAAATATAGAGCAGAGGAAATTTAATGCTTAACATTTTGAAGACAAATATACTTAAAATTCATATTTCATATGTACATTTTTCATTTACTAAATAATACAGAATATTTTAAAACAATTTCAACAAAATTCCATATTTATTTCTGAAGTTGTAAAAGTATATTTCTAATGTTATTGATCATATTCCTTTCTTATTTTTGATTTTCTAAACCGAGATATAAGTACATAGTCTTCAATATGCTAATACCTTGCACGATTCGATACAATCGCTATTTCAAATCTTAATGCAAAATTATTGTAATTTGAAAGTAGCGGATGCCGAACTAGCGCTGGATTGTTTTATCCAAATTGCTCTCAGACAGACAAAATATCAGACTGACTAACGCATTATATATATATATATGTGACAAGGATGTAAATGCTCATTCAATGTACATCGCTCTTATTCTAACTGCACCACAATTCCGCTTCTCGAGTACAAATTTTTATATTACTGGACACACGAATATTAACATTGATTGATTACCAGTTATCTTAAGATTAAATTTGAGTTATCTATTATCTTACAGTTTTACCAATCTTGGAAGTATGATTTTTCGTTAGCTTATATATCTATGCTTATACTGCGAATATATTTATTTATTTACAGATACACAAACATGGTTGTAGCGATTTCACTCACGTGGGAAACGCACGCAAAGCGATGAATAAGTATTTGCGCTGCTAGCAAAGAAGCTATTCAGAATTTTTAGGACGGGAGGAAGATAATCAATGAAATATATGTATAATTATTTACAATGCAGCGGTTTCTCGGGTCGCGTGAAACATAGTCAAGCTTTTTAGTAGCCTGCACTATATGCGTGCATATACAAATATTCGGTATCCTCTATTTCTCGCACTTCCTTTTATCCGCGATTTTATTAAGTAATCCAGATGAGTAACAGTTTAATTGCAAAGCCATTTTGACATTAAAAGTTAAGAATATGTTTATTAATTAAGCTTTAAATTATTTCTCCATCGAGCGAAGTCTGAAAACAAAGTTCCTTTATCTACGTGCACTCTTAAAGCTTGCTACAGCAAAATCCTTTAATTCCAATGTTAACTAACGCCGTAATTAGACCTCCCTTTCAACCTCGAGAAAGGAAAGTCGACTCAGTTGAAATCCTTCAAAGAATCTCTGGAGCCGAAAGGAAGCGCGATACGTAAGATATCTTGTGTACATATTTGCTATCTCGCTACATATCGTTGCCAGCCATATCCTGATTAAAGGAAGACAACTTACAGATGGTATTCAAATAATAAAATCTGAGATGTTCTTAATATTTTGATTTTCAGAAGTAACTTGAAATTATTCATTAATTATCGCATTCGTTTAATTAGGACACAGCCGAATTAATCGATCGCGTAATATATCTACACTGAAGTATTATCGGTCTACGTATAATATTGATATCAAAAAATTTATTTATAGCAAATGCTTACTGCTGCAGCTAGCGTGGATATAACCTGGATGCTTGTGTATTATACAAAAGTCTATGATATTCATCTCGCTTCGCGATATTAATAATCTTAGCGCGAAGCGACGGCAGTAAGATATTATCGTCGGAAAGTATAAGTGTACAAAAGATCTGCTAATATGTATTGCTATTAGTCACATTAATTTTCACTTTGATTCACTTAACACGTTGTAGGCGAATAATGGATCCACACGGTGCTGCGTTTTGTTTTAGATCAATTTAATTAGAGTTAATTTAATGCTTGAGAGTTTTTTCACTTTCACACAATTTGAGGAATCTGATTGGAGAGGTAAAGTGGCCATTCAGTAAAATTAAAATTATTCATAATATAAAAAAAATTAGGAAAAAGTTAAAGAACTTGAGAATTAATATTTGCTTTAAATTTCAAAATTTAACTGTATAAATAAAATATTTCAATTATCTCTAATGTATTTATTCTTCCAGGATTACCGAGTTAAAATATGTTAATGTTCAAACAATTCCCGATAATCTCGTACTTGTCATCTATTCGCACAACCAAGTAAATATATAATTAGTTATAAAAATAAATCTCTTTTCTGCGAATCGTGTTCATGCTTTTAATGAAAAAGCGTTTTGTTCGCCGCGTTTGTCGTTTGATTATAGAAGTGTATATTAAGATCCGTTAAAAAAACATACACACTGCACGCGCGCGGACCCAGCATGATTTTGGGCCCGTAAAAATAGCAACATCAGTCACTAAGAAGCTTTTGTGCCATACACTTTTAATTATATATAAATTGTGTATAAATTGTGATAATTATATAAATTGAAATCAGCATAAATATTTCCTCATGGAATTTTGAATTTGTGCACAATTGTAGAACAACAACTTTCAAAACTCTTCAATTCTACAAAATTCTATTGTGTGAACTTTTTAATTCATTTTTTGTTTCTTTTTCTTTTTGTGTAATTAGCAAAAAGCTTCTCCGTGGTCATTTGCTTAAAAGCGTAATATCAACATGGTGTTTGTGTGATAAAACTATTAATTATCTACAACACAAACTAACGCCAAGTGCAAAAACTTTGGCATTCTTCATTTAAAAAAATTTACACATTAGTAAATATACGTATACATAACAAAAAATGAGCTGCTCGCCGATTGAACACTCAAGTACATACCCGTACTAAAAATGACTTAATTATCGGCCTTCACTAAATCTGCGTTTATGATGAGTAGAAATATCGTAAATTCAGTTTGCATCACAAAATCAATTGATTTTCGTAATTATATTTTAGATTTTTGGAGCTCTAATCTATCTTTTTATCTTGTTTCAATTCTGATTATATAGAATAAAAAAAAAGATAATTTGATTTTCCTTGATTTTTGCTTTCTTTTTTATCGATCTCTCGGTGATGATTCTAGTATATTATGTTCCATTAATATTATCATCCCTTATAGACTAATTGGTTTTAATTTAACTCTTCAATTCATTTTAATGCCTTAATTTATTATCTCAAAATTTACATAATTTTTTTAGAGCGAATTTTTGAAAAATTCTTTGACATTTATGTAAATCTTGAGTCTTTATAGACGAAACTGTGAATTAAAGAATTAAATGCATGTGCGCAATACTATAAATCAACCTTTAAGTAATATATTCTTCAAAGGTATCAGTTCCTCGACTTCATGCCATCATAAAAATGCATGAATATTTTATCGCATATTCATTTCAATAGTTTTTTAATATTAATATACATCTCGTATATAATACTTAGAACCCCCAAAATAAGGGATTTCCGTGTCATACTGACGCTTTCTTCGAGGCTAAAAGTATTAAGAATTGTTCTCATCGCAATAATATTATTTTTACTCGATTTGAAATGTATCTGCAACTAGTGTGCTTCTGATTGCAGCATCAAATCGATGTATGCAACTTTCATATTATCATTGTTCGCACACACACACACACCTCACGTTTTTCATATCAATTTCTTATAAATAATTTTATACTTATCACATCGATTGCGAGACTTCAATCTATCATAAAGTTAACTTTTCGTATATTGTAAAAGAAGGATGATCTCTCTAGTGTCTCTTCTTAGTGTCTAAGAAAATGATCAAAAGCGATGCAATTCCCATGGATATCGAAATTGAAGCTTATTGATTTAATCTCGTTAAGCAGTCTTAAAACCTTTTTCACTCTCTGTTATGAAATTATTCTGCTTTATGTGTTACCTATGCAGTAACATTATTAGAGAATTTTCTAAATTTCTTTTCCATTCAATATATCCTCATCTTTATAAGCTGCATCGCGAACTTGCGAGTCAGCGTGGTATACAAGACTCAGCTCTTCATCAATACCATCTGGGCGATCGTGAAGAGCCCACGGTTATAGCACGAAGATACGCTAGTCTACGATAAGTAATCCGCCCGAATCGATCTGTCTGGTCGCGCGCGCGGGCAGCCAGTCCTTAATTAAATAAAGTGCTCCTGACGCGGTTGACCTCGTTATAGAGTGACTGTGATCGCGTCGTAACGCGTCGTGGCGATGAATGAGAGTCCGCGACTAAATAGTGCGTTCACCGCAACCATATCAGCTAGTGATTGTGGTTGTAGAGATGCCACCTCTGCGTTTCCGCATTCGAGTCGCACTTCTCCGCCGTGATGCCGCGCTGCGCGTGATATCGCGAATCCACGCACACGGGGATCCTGGTGTGGCGTATCAGGCCGCCTTCCAAGTGCCGCCACTTCTGATTCTCGCTGCCGTCGCAGATCTGCATCAGCAGCGTCGTACCCTTGGCGTACACCGGCAGAGTCAGGCAGAGATCGTGGTGCTTGATTAGGCCGTCCTTTGTGAGACCCCACTCCTACGAAGTAAATGTGTAAGCGATATTTATTCGATTTCGGATAAAGGATTCCTAATATGAATTATTCTTGCCGCGTAACGCTCACCTGGTTACCGCCGGTGTCGTGACAAGGATAAAGACCCACGTTCCCGTCGAGAAGGTGGCCCATGCTGTCCAAACAGGCGGTGCCCTGTTTCAGAGATCCTCCTGGACCACCCTCGCTCGTAGGTATAACTAGTTCGGGATACACATTTTTCAGATACCAACTGAAAGGCTTGCAATGTAGTTTACGTTTCAGCTCCATCCTATCTTGAATACTGAAATACGTAATTATTTACACGATTAACGCAATCAAATTTTGCACTTTTTAGGATGTAAAATCTCTTATTTTTCTATTAATATAATAATATTCTATTATTTTCTGCATTCAATTCTACCGCTTTGCTATTATTTTGTACATTTAGTAATGTGAACATATACGGGACAAAATTTTTGCCATTACAAACTTAGTTTCCCTGTATATCTCATGTTTACGCGTTATATTTTCCATATTTTGATATCGCGTTAGATGGCATGACGAAATGCAGTTTCGAATATCGCCTGTTGACAGTTTAATCGAAACGTCGGCGCACTGAGACTTACTTTCCGTAAGGGATGTTTCGTGCCAGCGGCACGGCGTTGTAGTAGAACTGCTTGTAGTTGTCCATCCATACTTCGGCGGCGCGCCTCGTGTTTCGAGCGAACACGTTTCCGCTGCCTCCAGGGAACGAGTAAGGATGACGTTTACGGAATACATGGCCCACACGTGAGCAAGGGATAATCTCCAAGCTGCCACCGCATTGCCACACGCGGAACGATATTTCTGAAAGAAAGTTATAAGTTCACACAGCGACTGAGATCGTCCAACGTGAAATAAAGATATTAAAAATGTAGCAAAATAAGCTATACACATATATGTATAAATCCTTTGTTACCAATTTACTTTTGTATTGTATTGTTTCACACATTGCGAAAAAAAATCTGCCAACAATTTTCATATAACAGCACTTTATATTTGCGAAAACAATTGTCAAAAAAAAAAAAAATGCAGCATTGCTACAAATTTTTCATTAAGTTATATCAAACTTGAGAAAATGTTAAAATTTTTCCGAAAGAACTCAGCAACTTTTCTTCCATCTGAAACGGGGTCGAAGTTATTTCTAACTTGACACTTCTGACATATATTGGTTTTCTTACTGTTTTCTGCAGAGTACTTACAAACTGCACACAAGATGGTAGTTTCTGCCAAATAGTTTGTTTACTCATGTTTGAAATGTAAAGACAAACATAGCACCTCTGTTGACAATTTAGAGGAACAATCTTGCGAAATTGATTTTATATCATGTGTTAATAGTTGAAATAAAATCAATTTCGCAAAATTGTTCTACATTTCAATGTAAATTTTGTCATTGAACAAAAACCTTATATTCTAGAATTTTTAATTATTTGTTTATTTAAAATGTAAGATATCAATGCATCGCATTAAAAGTCTAGACCTATCAAATGATATGTTATAAAATTCTGAGGCCTGAATAAAATGTATATTTTAACATTAATGTATAAAAGAAGGAGGAATATAAATATTCTTTGATCCTGTCCTCTCCGCAATAAAATACCTTCCTACAAAAATTTATTTTTTTCCGATAAAAAAAATTCTAGGCAAACTTTTGAATCAGGATGTTTTGAAGTATTTATTTGCACAGACTTCAGATATAGTGATGGATGAGCTAATATTTACACCAATACGTTGCAATGCTTTTTAATAAAATTGAATAGAAAGCGCTCATTAAAACTTGTTGAGAAATTATAACTTTCAACCATATTGATCTAATAAAAAGTTTACTCTCCTGCAAGGTACTCATCGTGAGCTGTGCGTGCCTCGTAAGAAAGTTTTTGTAACGAAGTAGATCGACCACGTGCAATATCTTTCATAGCCTTTACACAATTTTCTTAAAACAAAATAGCTTCAAACGGAAAACAAATAATAATAATAGCGATAAGAATAAAAATGCAAAAAAAACATTTCAACAAAAGAAAATTCAAAGTATTTAAAAATAACATTCTGAAAAATCACTTCAGAACGCTTTGTACAGAAGCAAAGCTCAATAATCACATACCGAGATTTTCACCGCCCCAAACGTCCATCTGAGTATCGTATTTGCCGAGTTTTTCAAAGTACGCTTTGTTGATGACAAACAGTCCGCCGGCAATCATAGGGGTCCTAATGGCTTGTGTCGGGTCCTTTTGTCTCGCTTGTCGTTCTGCCTGACTGAGATACTCCCATTTAAAGACCAAACTCCAATCGAAACCACCTCTGAGATCAGCGGAAGCTCCTGAAAAACAAGGTAAAACCGTCTGAATCGCTTGTAAAGGAATGTCGTTTACAACGCAATATTTGATATCTGAAAATAAGTGCAGATTTTTATTATTATTAGAAATATATATCATGTAAGCACATCAAAATTCTGCAGTGTTACAGACGCTCACCGATATATTGGAAAGTATCCATGCTGATTACATCGATTACAGGACACACCACCCTCGATGGATCTTCGGTCACTCTTTCTAAGAGAGGTTCGAGCCAGTCCGCGTTGCACTCGCAGTGCGAGTCCAAAAATGTCAGTACACTCGCAGTAGCTGCATCCGCGCCGCGAACACGCGATCTCATCAAACCCTCCCTCTTCTCGTTTCTGATTACGCGGACCTTGTGGATTCGCGATAACTCTTCGCCATCCTCGGCTGCAAACAAATCAATCTTTCTTGCCTTACGATATTTCTGTCAATTAAAGGCCTCTAATTGTCGCTCGAAATATTCGTGAAGAATTATTTTTTGTCTCGAGTATTTTCGTATTTACGGTTCATTATTCATTCGACGTTATTCAATTAAAAGACATTTTCTTGTTAGGTTAATGTAAACTTTAGATTACAGCTATCAAGCGTGTGTCTATAAATTTTGCGATCATAATTTAATAACGTGCTATTTAGAGCGGTAGGTAATGTCATAAATGACGGATTAGCCGCAGGTCACCAACCCTTCAGTGATATTAAACGCGATGTTAAATGTAATATTTAACGCAATTTTCCATAATTGAATATACATATAATTTACATTTTAATTACAATAAATTGCGTCAAATATTATGTGCAATATTCTCTTAGTAACGAGTTAATACACGAGTAATTCGACAATCCTTGTCAGCATATCGGGTCTTATGATTTATCGTGTATTATTGTATTTTAACAATTTATATTTTTAAAAAACTTCAAAATTTGTGAGTTAAATAAATAAAATTGCAATTTTTTTGAAACTTGAATCAATAAATATTATGTACAGTACTTACGATGGTCGCTGAAATCATCCACTAAAATGATTTCCTTGATCAGATGTTCGGGGCTTCTATTCAGCACACTAAAAGCAAAAGCAAAGAATTGCAAATTAGGTAAACATAAAGCCTTTCTGATTTAATAATGTTATTTTTTAATCTCTATCATTATTTTATCTCTCTTAAACAATTTCGCGAGTAATAAACCAAGCGTATTAAATCATAATAATAATATTACATCAATTTATCACTCTACCTTCTGCACATGTACACATTCTATTGTTAATCACGGTTTTGAATGTTAATATTGACACAAGATCGTTTTTCAATAAAACGCTTCCTCTTCAGATTCAATTTAAAAGCTCGATTCGCTTTTCTTCCCGAATCACTATCATTCATTTCTATATAAACTTTTCCGGTCGATTAACGTCGAATAAACTGAGGTACCGGATTAAGAGGAGAACAGAAGCATCGGATTGTCTCATTGAATCTTTTATCAAAGTTTCGAGGACTTTGCACCACTTGCCTTTTATTTGAACGGTCTCGCGTTACCTCAACCTATTCTGCGAGTTTCGTATAAGAGGATTATTGCAAATGATTAGAGTTCTTTTTACTAATTAAGACTATCTCTTGATATTGATAAGACAAGTTTAATATTATGGTCATTTTTTCAATTAATTACATCTTTTTTTCTTACTTTCTTCATTTTAAAAAAATAATTTATAATTTTTTAGCCCTTAGGGAACATTCAGAGCGTAAAATTGATCGCAAAGAATTCTCCGTGCCGCATCAAAATGGTGGTGAAATGTGGCCTCGTCGCGGTAATTAAGACTTCCTTTTAATTTCATCGATCGACGCGATAGGGCCGATATATTTTCCTCACGCCGCCACGTTACGGACTTAAATAAATTTTCCGACTTTTGCCTGCTTCCTTCTTCCGGTTCGGCGAGAGAACTTCGGAGCATTTTGCACGGAAGCTACCTTCGCCGAGCGACGCGATTCGTACTTTCGTAGACTTCGCGAGATGTTTCGCAGTGAAAAAAATGTTTTAATTAATATGAGAACGTTGATGAGAAAAAGTAGTGATTTATCATCTGGATGGAAAAGATACTAGGAAAAAGATGTTAATTGTGAAGCAAATATCACATAAAATAATCACTTGCTCAATTGAAAACGCTATGTAAAACAAAATCGAGAAATAATGAATTAGGAAAGCTATAAATTACTAAAGTAATCTTGATTTTTCTGCACAATTTTTTAATTTTAATTCCTTGTAAAAAAAAACTGCTATATATTTTAATGTAATTGTTTGTGTAATTATCTTGCATTTTACATGAAGCATTGTTCTACACTTACCTGACGACGGTTCTGAGTAGCGTAGACCGCGCTTCATTGTGGAAAGTAATTATAACGGAAGTCGGTGGCAGATCCTGTCTCCATTGTTTCATCCTACACCTGTAAGAAAATAGTACAATCATAATAATCGTCTAAGATGTTTGAAACATATTAATACTTCGGAAAAAGATAAATAATATCAAGTAAATAGAAATTTTGATACGCCGCACTTTTGTATTGCTTGCACAAACACTCTTGACACTCTTGAATGTTTCTCAATATTGACAACAGCAGCGAATTGCATAAAAATAAATGTTTTTTAAAATAAAAATTTTTTTTAATTTGTACGGGATTAACAATATGTCTTATATATTGCATTCAGAATATTAATCAAACACAAATAATCAAACTAGAAATCCGATATTGCAAAGCATAACGCATTTTTTCTCAAAACAATATTATATTTTATGGTATTTTTTATTTAATATCGTTAATACTTCAAATTGTTTCAATGCGTCCTATTTCTTTCTGAGTTAGCTGTGTGCTAACGTGCTTCAATTTTTCCTATAAAATTGTTACTCACCTCCATGTTTAGTGATAACACATTGTGTATCGATAATACTTCAATATTGATCGTTTTATTCTGATTCTATTATTGTGGTGAATCATCAATAAATATTGATTAGTTATCGCTACTTCAACTGTTTACATTGCTTCATTTATTTAACTTATCTTACAAGACGTTAGATGCTTTTCAGTTGCTTTCGGTAATAAAAATTCCTGTTATTTAAAAAATGTAATATTGAAGCCATGTTATAACAATAAAACTTGTTTAAAAATTTATTTTTAAAGCTTAAAGCTGCTAAAATAATTTATTGATATTTCAGTTTTTTTAAATTGCAATTTTATAATCAAGTCTCGTTTGAGGCGGAAATTACAATCAATAAATAATATCAAAATACTTTTCATAATTCCGATAGCGATTTGTACTACGAATTTCACTTTTTTATTGCAATTTGGAGATGTTTATGACGTTTGCCGGAAGAAATGTGCCGGATATTAATATTTGCTCATTCTCGTACATTGTAACATAAATATGCTCGTATAAATGAAAAATAAAACACGTTAAAACTGCCGCATAAATTTGATTCAACCATGCGCATAACGGCGTGAATTTGCGCTATATTCATAAATTCATGATATCGCTTCACAAGATACGTCTAGAAATTGTATTAGCTATCACTTCGAATATATAAATGCAAATTGCTAGTAGCCAAAGTGGACATTGATATAAATTAAAATCCCTCTCGCACTTTCTGCTGACGGATTTCTAAATCTTTATTTTAACATTTACAATATCTTAGAGAGTATAAAACTTTAATAGAAAAGAAAGAAGAAAAGTTGCATTCACGGCGATACTTCTACATTTATGTAAATATGCAACTCAGAAAGAGTTTTTTAAGACTATTTTAATCCAAAATTGATTATTGAGAAACTTTAAGTATATAAAGTATTCAATTTGTACTTCTTATACTTTATATATCATAAAATATATCAAAATTTATTTCATAGTATTATTTAAGTTAGATCAGTACGAAAATGTAAATTTTCCCAATTATTCATGTTTCATATAATATTCGAAAATATAATGTATCTTGTCTTAAATTGATTTAATTTTTGTAACGTTTATAATAACATACATAATATTTTACAACTATAAAATTGTAAGTTTTTGTTTTATTTTATTATTTTATAATAATAATATTATTCTTGCGATTATTTTATCATAATTGTTGCTTTGACGTCTCGCGTTCAAATGCTCGACAGCATAGGAAGAGTGGCGGAAGTGGCTTAATCGGTAGAAGTGGCGTTCTTAAACAGAAGAAGCAAGAAGAGGAAACTAAGAGAACGATCGTTTGGGGCGCCGAGCCGGCGCGGAGAGGGCACATAAATGCGGCCAGACGACCAGAACGATCCCAATATGTCAGCTCTTCTTTGCCGAGATAAACTCGCGGAACGTGCGTTGAATGTAGTCACCACTAGCTGCATAGATGCGCTTTTTCGCGTCGTTGCGCGTCAAACAAGATCGCAAAAGTTTCGCACCGTTGCCGGAAGCTATCGCTATCGTATGCGAGTCATCGCCGGCGAATCGCAGGATGGCCCGAAAACACGTATTCTTTCAGCCCGAAGTCTTTTTGTGGAATAAAATGTCTGCACTGATAGTTTACGTATTGCACATGTAATGTCTTAAAATATTTCTCACGTATTATACAAAACAATTAAAAATCATTGCTTCTCATTTCAGCTAAGAACTCTTCATCATTGTGATATATTAACACATTTTCTCCAAATTAATTAATTACATTATTAAATAATTAATGTTTAATGTACTAAGACATTTACGCAACGATGTATATTCAGTTACCGCTCCATTTAATTATAAGCCAAAGTTTAATTCATCGTTACACTTTTCTCCGCGTGTAATCAAGCGGCTCGAATGGCGGATAACTTTCGTAATGAGTAATTTAGATACTCATCACCGCGCTTATCCTCTTCTAGGCGCCTCCGCTTCGCCGCTTCGCTTCCGCAGGCGGTGCGGGAATCGACAAATTAATTCGGGGGACCATAATTCCGCATTAAACCCCAGCTAGTCTCCGCGGCGACATGTTTGTCGACAACGAAATTGCGCGCGCGAGCCTTAAAGCGAGTCCGGCAGATGAGACGGATCATCCGGACGGTTTAATTCGAAACTTCAATTTAGGATCCGCTCCGCGCCACTATCCGCTAAAGTGGATAACGCGCGGGCAGCCCGTGCAATTCCATTGGACGCTCGATCGCATATATACGAGCGCACATGCATGTATGTATATGCTCGCGCGGATTGACCATCACTAGAGAATGCGTCGTACGAAAGGGAGAGAATGCAGTTGTAAAAGCCGTGCAGACCGATGCAATTAAAACAAACCAATACTACTATTATCCCCTAAAAGTTTGGTCTACGATAAAATACCTAATACTATTGGATTCCGGGGATAAATGTGTTTCCCCCTCCCACCCGAATAATGTCAATAATCGATTGGTATATTGGCATTATTTTCACTGGAAATACGAGCGCGCGATTAAAATACAGGAATTTGATATGCATTTCTGCTCTACGACAGTTTTGTCGCACAAGAAGTAAAAATTGTTATTATTCACGCAAAGACGTTGACACTAATAATACCTTCCACGCACATTTAGCGACATCATAAATTCATGTTAACAGTAGTCATTTAATGCCAGATTTCCGGAGCGCATGTTATGAACACATATTACTCCTGCCGTTGTACTCCGATTATTACTCCGACTCATCTCTGTACTCTCTAGGATCCATTAAAGCGCTTATACGGCTGCTCACTGCTGGAGGAACGGCGATTGCGAGCGAGAAGGAAGAGACGGACGAGTACGGAAAAGTGCATAAAGGGCATGAAACGGAATTAGAACGTAACGCCCGGGCATCCTGCGGAAATAGAAGATTTTTTTCCGCAAAACTCCCGTACGCTGCTCATACCGCGAAAGCTCTTGCGCAAAACAGGATATTAAATCTTCAATCCATCACTGTTCTTTGTGAAGCTGGGGAAAGTATAAGCGTTTCCGGATAAGAAAGCGCACTCGCGAGATGACAATTAAATCGGATTTTTGTTCCCAACTTGATCCGTATAATTATTTAAAATATAAAATTTTTTCGTCCGCAAACGACGGCGTATTAATTTCTAGACAATTGATTGAGGCAGATCAAGGTATGTAGATTGCTCGGAAAATTACGCGAGATATTAAAATTTTCAATAAATTGTAATATTATTTCATTAAAGTGAAATTTTATACTAAAATATTATATATTATCATCGGAATAAATTTCAGAGTGATTAATGAGAAATATATAACGATGCAAATAATCGAGTGTCTTCGATATCGATGCAGAGTTTTTAGATACTCGCGCACGTTGAATTTGCAGTTTAATTTCGCGGCGTCCGTCTGACATGAACATCGATCGGATTAAGCATCATCGACAGTTTTATTATTGCGGTGATAAATCACATCGAGCAGAATGTTGCCACGGCGGACTACGGATGTGGTAATTGATGCAAATACGCGATGGTCCGTTTCTGACGCTCGCAAATGGAGATCCGCAACATAACGCGCAAAACACAATTCTACACGACCGCTGCATTTTCAGAAATTTTTTATTTCCTTCTGGCGCGTCATTGACTATAAACTCCGCTAAACTCCCCGCTGTTTGCATCGTAAATTCAGTGCGATACATTTACAGGCATTATTTTTACACGTAGACAACGTAATGGTACGACGCGTTAATCGCGCGTGATTTTGCGCCGCGCTGCCAAACGCATCGGCCGGCTTGGCGAAGGCGCAAATCACGTTAACGCCAAAAATCATGTTACTCTTGGACATTGCGCGCTCCTGGATCGTGTTTTGTCCGCCGGGCCGGGCGTTAATTTTGGAAAATGCAAAAAGCATTCCCGTGCTCGCTGCAAAAGCGCGCGCGGGTCGGGGATTGCGTTCTATGAAATCAGAGTGCATCGCGTTCTGATTTACAGAACTGTTTGGTGTCGCGAAAAACGGGGGAGGCGGAGCAGGAGGTCGGCCGCACAAAGTTTCAGACGATACATTGTTGTTGGTTGCAGTTTTAACGCCTTCGCCCCGCTAATGGATTACATATGTCTTACAGAAAAGTATGAAATGACAAACATTTTATAAAGGATTCGAAGAATGCTCTCTCCCGTTCCTTCTTTCTCCAATTACTTTGTGCGATATCAGTTTTCAGAAACTATAAATCAATTTAATGACGCTAAAATGGAACAAACAAAAATTAAAGAAAAAAAAAATATCCATTGACTTTATTAGTGTAACTAACGGTTTTAGAAACTCGTTTCGCTCTGTGTGCGCAATAATGATTCTAAAAATACAAAGTTATAGGCTTTCTCTTTTTCTCTCTGGCCGCCACAGGTCTCCATGCGAATCCCTTGATATATCGAAGACATCGCCGATTGCTTTTACATTTACGGACGTTGGTTTCGGAATACGCGGGGTAATTCCCACGGGCGCGAGACGCCCGTAGCTAA